TAAGCTAGAAATGCAGCTTAACTTTTTTCATTAACTTTCAACAGTAGAAGATATAAAAACAACTTTCAACAGTAGAAGATATAAAAAAAGACATTAAGCACAAAAATTACATAAAAGGTTCGAAGTCACACACACTTTTAATAACTTCTAATAACTTTTAATAAAATTCTGCCATTGTGCTCATTTGGAGACTTTTTTCTGAAAAATTTGTGTTGTTTTTACAGTTTTTAACTTAACAGATGGTAACATAAAAGTATATGAAACTAAATCACACTGAACACAATGGAAATGAACAGAGATATTTAAACCAATAGACAGAATAATAGAATAAACACGGTAATAGAGTAAACACACATAGTTTTTTAGTATACTAATTAATACCTTAATGGGGGGTTTTGTGAGTTTCAATGAGGATTTTTACCTTTCGATTTTGTCATTCGTTGGTAAACTTAAAAGTTTGTAGTAAGTATTTGTAAATTTTATATTATTAGATTTAAAAAAGGTTTGGGGACCCTAAATAATTGTTATTCCAATTCAACAATAACACAATACTTTCCATAACAACTTCCTGAGATTAATTAAAATAACGCAAGTTCAATTTTATTTACGATTTTCCAATGCACATTAAGGCAAAATTATGCTTTTTGAAAAATGCAATTTGCGTTTTAAAAAATCAATCCGAATTTTATTTTTATTAAACTTACAAATAAAAGTGCGATGAAAGAAATACATAAAAAAACAGTACAGTCAATTTATAAGAATATTTATAAAACCGTTGGATTTATGAGTTAAAAATGAGTTTGTTATTGTTTAATAATGTTATGCTATGTAAAACTAATGTAACTTACCTAAGGTTTCCTGGTTATAATTCAAACACTTATTGCACAAATTATTCTTGAAGACTAACCTTGCCCCTAACGAAAATATTAGGTAAGAACTTACGTCCAGACCTCACCAACAAACCGACAGGAAACAGAGTATTTAATTTAACGCAACTGTTAATTAGTTTTACATATTTTACACATCAGCCACTATGTAAATACCTTTTAAGATATTTTCTATATTTCTCGGCGATAGATTGTAATAAATAATAATCATCATGGGCCCTTGAACCAAACGAGCCCAATCGCTTAGTAGCATATAAAATTAAAATCACGATTAATTAGTTTAATTAATTACATTAGTAACAGTCACATTTCGTCTAGTAATACAAGGTCGTGATTCATTGACCAATCAAAGTACTACCGGGTACCTTGTAGGAACCTTAACCATATATGTCTTACATTCTAATAATTAACTTCCGACTTAATCAGATTCGCGATTTTGGCCTGATATTAACTGCTATAAATAAGCGTGAACTTAATAAGGCTGGCCATTATTAATTAGTTTAGCGCTTTGGGTAATTTGTGTTCTTTTCTCATAGGTAAAGCATTTGGTTTTTCGTACACTAATTTTTTTTGTTCATCAGAGATAAATTACTGAAATTGCATTCTTCCAAAAAAAGTTTCATCAAGTTCCTCATCAGCAACGAAGATTTATTATCCGGGCGCACCAAAGCATATTCAAGTGGGTTGATTTAATCAATTCCAATGCTTCATTCCATGATGAGCTTAAAACACTTTAACTTTTTCTAACCATTTCCATAATATTGACTAATACTGTTACCGTATGCCCCTGATTCGCAATCTGTTAGTCTAACTGTATTCCAGCACAACATGTCTATAAACAAGCCCATAATTATAATAATCTGTTTAAGTAATTTAAACAGTTGAATGCACTTGACCATTGACTTTGCAGGTAGTGTTTAGTGGAAGTTTTGTTCCACTTTTCCATTAAACTGTGAACCGTGAAATTCAAAAAGTGACGAACTAAGTGCAGAAATAGTAAATAGCCCTGAACAGCTTCCAACTGTACTGTAATTTAATTTGATTTTTCAGCTCATTAATGGATTGAGTATTAATAATCTGACAATGTTTTTAATACATTAGACCCAACTGAGTCAAAGAGCCATAAGAGCATCGCATAGAAGCAACACGACACTAATTATTTTTCACTAACGAAAAAGTCCGCGATAATCATTGTTTCCTCTGCACTTTGCTTCAACAGCAACTCTTTCCAATTTTTGTCACAATTTCAACTCTATTTATAACTTTCAGACCCAAAATGAAGCTTTATCTACTAACAGCCGCGCTTTGCTGCCTTGCCTTATCCTGCCAAGCGAACCCCGTTTCTTTGGACAAACATGTCGACGACCATAGTGTGGACAGTAAGCCAACCGAGACGGAGCGGAAAGGAGAGAAGCAAGAAGCCACTCCCGGAGTATTTAAAACCGATACTGAAGTTGTTACTTCAGTCGAAGTTAAGACTGAAGTAGAAACCTCCAAACCTGAAGGGCATAAAGCGACAGAAGCTGCACCAATGAAGGAAGAAACTACGGAAAAAGATGAATGTCACTCATGTGAAAAACCCCATTCAGGTATATACGCGAAGTTTCATTCGAAGGAATGAACTGTTCGAGGAATGGTTTGATAAGTAGCAATCTGTGTTACAGGTCACGCTATTCATTCGAAGAAAACACAAGCCGAATCAGGCAGACAATCATCTGATGATGATGATGACGACGATGACGATGACGATGACATTCTAGGCGATGACGATGAGGACGACAATGATGACGACACTGCAGCAGATGAAGCTGATGATGATGAAGACGACGGCGATTTCCTTGGGGGATTCTTAGATGATATCTTAGGAGGAGGTACGTAGAACTCTTCCAAGAGACACGAACGAATGTATTAAAATGTATCAATGATCAAATATTTGATGATGTTCTTACCAAATTCGTTAATTATTAATATTCCGATAGTATTGATGTACAAAGTATTGATTAGTTACAATATTTATAAAAATAAATGATTTCCTTCTTGGTTTATGGTGTTCTTTCCTTTCCAATCTTTCTTTTTGGTTCGCTCCCGTTTCTTGCTGGTCATTTCACACTTTTTTTCAGGTACTCATCAATCATATGAACCAGATTGCATGCGACCGCTCTATTTTTATGTATATGACGAACTTTTTTCTCAATTAGAACATGAAGACAAAAGATGAAAGATTCATTCCACTCTATTTCGTCACTGAAAAGCGTAGTTCTCAAGAACAGATTAATCTAACATCAGAAACAATACTCCGACCCAAATAATTTCTAAAATTTGCTCGGCATTTTACTTTAAATCAAGGTTTTGGTTGGTTTCATTACAAGAAAAACACTTTATATAATCTCATCATTGCCCACAATCTGCATAAGATTGCACTGCACCGAACCGTATAAGATTCATTAATTTAATAGATTCCAAGTTAATGTTGGTTCACTGTGTGTCGACATTTTACCGTCTTAAATATTTCGAGCTGTGAAAATTATTTTTTTGCTGTACTACGTTAAATGGTTAAGTCAAAGATAAAACTACAGTTAAAAGTACCGTAGAAAAAGTTCAGCCTAAATTTGAAGTTTTTCGTATAACCATTGGAGTCGGCAAATACATAGTTTTCGATATACAGGGTGTATTTTTTCTTTTTTGGGGATATTTAACAATCACATTTACATAGTGGCGTACAGCTTGGGTTAGGAATGCGTTCAGTAGGTGGTAAGTTTTTTGTCATCTGATATACTGGCGTTTCGCCTAATTTCATGTGTTCCCCATCTAAGTTGCTCAAAAAATGTCTACTTGGTCGAAACCTCTCCGACCACCAGTTTTCGGGTTATCAGGTCCCGAAAAGTGGATCTTACAGCACTTTTTCGACACATTAGACTTAATTGATAAACCACTTTTGAGTGTGGACCCAGAAAGTATTTACTGCTGAAGCAATTGCACAGCAACACATAACTTTTTACCCGTTCCAGTCAGATTATTATACAAATGCCAGACATACACACAAAATAACTAGTATTCTGTATATATAATACATCTATTCCATGTTTCGTTATTTTTCAAATATCCCTCATTTTGCCGAGGAAACAGGAACGCTTTTTCAAGTTATGAAAATATTGGAGTAAACTTTTTAGGAGACGACGACGACGACGATGATGATGATGATGACGATGATGATGACGACGAAGAAGACGAACCAGCTCCATCGTCAGCCGTTATTACAAACACCGCTCAATTGGCATCAGCCCAAAATGCCGCAGCATCTGCAGCATCCAGTGCTAGTCCTTTATCAGCAGAAAACGTCATCGAAGAAGAAACACCCGAAGAACAATTAAATGCTGCCGAAGAAGTGGACGGAGACAATGAAACTGGTAATACATCGAAACCGATATAAATTTAAAGCTTTAATGTGAAACTAATTTTTATAAGCAGGTACGGAAACCGCCCAAGAAGATGACTCACTTCCTGGATCTCTGATCGAAAAAGACCCCGTGGATGATGAAATTGTTGCCCAAAATTCTGTTCAAGAACCCATAATAGTACAGCCGGTTCCAGCCTTTGATAATACAGCTGATGATGAAGAAGAAGATGACGACGACGATGATGATGATGATGACGACGATGGAATTGGAAGTGTGATCGGCGATGATGACGACGATGATGACGACGATGACGATACTGACGATGACGACGATGACGATGACGACGATGATGATGATGATGACGACGATGACTCAGGTTTAGCAGATGTAATCGACGCCAGGAAAGCACGTGAGTCAAAGGGGAAGAAACATAAAAAGGGAAAACATTACGGGTCTAAATCGCGCGTGGGAAAACATCACGGTGGGGAACATCTAGAAAGTGAAACTAAAACTAAAACCGACCCAAAAAAAATTAGATAAACTTTATTAAATGTTAATTATTGGTGATTTGGACTTAAAATTCTATTGCCGAATAAAATGTTAGCGTTCACTCAATTTCGATGATGAAAGCTTTAGTATCACTGCTGAGATGTCGTTCATTTTTATATTCAAGTTATCTGTTGCAAAAAAGTCATTTTCCAATCTTTTGCTACGTTTGTATAAATGTTTAGAATGCTCATAATTGTGTACAAATGTGACTGCAGCTTTAATGGAATCTTTATACGTAAAGCTTCCAAATGTGAATTGCTATATTTGGAAACCTAAATATTTTGTAAAAAAATCTTGATTGAAATGTAACGTTTACAATAAAAGGCTCATTTGCATGTTTCAGTTTATGTAAATATTAAGGTTTCCATGTAAAATTAGATATTCTTGTAGTGGCAAGTAGTTTAGCAGACTCATTAAGAGCAGACTAAATTAATTTATTTTCTTCTTTAGTTATTTATTTATTTATTTATTTATTTTATTAAAATGCATTATCCTAGGTAAATGTCACATACCTAGTGACGTAAAATTTGATTTCTTACAAGAACATTCCCAAAGAATAATGTGTAATAATTTTTAGAGCTGTTACCTCACGCAAAATTCATAAGAGTAAATATACGATTTATTAAATAAGCAAAATTGGTGTTTTATTATTTTCTTCATGAAAATATCGACTTCCCTGACTCCAAAAGATTTAGGTAAATAATTGACTGGATGGAAACTCAACTTTTCAAAATTATTTTTCTTTCATGTCCATGCCACTTTTACATGTTTGGTTTCCATTAAGTGTGACATCTACTTAGCGTAATGCACTAACAAAATATTTTCCTTTCACTTTCAACTTTTTGCATGCATTTCTTCAACACTTTTTTCATGCTGTTAACACGCATTTTGATCCTTAACAATTGCATACACGTAAACAATATCAAGAATCTAAAGAAGAATTCGGAAACTGCAAATTCTAGGTAAGTGATTTTCGATAATTAATAGCTAGAATTAGTTTAAAACTAGTGGCAAGAATAAATTGAGAGCTCTGAATCTCAATAAAATATGTAGCAAAAACTTTTGCGGATGTAATATATTTTTAAATGATAAATATTTTTCAACATTTTCAGATTCTAATGATTTAATCTAATATGCAGTAAAAATTAGTGCAAAACATGAAACTAAAAAGTTAATGCTGAAATAAAATTCATTATAAATAAAATTTGCATTCTCAAATGTAATAAAACGATAATTTCAAATAAATTGTTTTTTTCAAAAATACAATTATTTTTGCGAAACTTGTAATTCAAGAAAAAATTATCAAATCAGTTGAAATTTTTAGTTAGAAACCGTTATAATACATATAACACCTGCAGGTGAAATTAAATCTTCTACACGGATAAAAAATCGATTTAATTAGTTTAATTATGTACGTATAGTTAAATAGGTGCGTGTTACAGTTAGCTAGAGGCAAAACCGTAGAAATTAAAAACAGTGATTGTGAGCTTTTATTGGGCTTAGACTATAAGTAGACAATATAACAGCATGACAAAGAAGATAATGACAAAGACTATGACTTAATTAATCTGGAACATTGAACGTAGAAGAATATGAATTTTGGGCAGAAGATTTGGGCATGGCGGTCTTTTTGGATCGGGGATTAACGGAATGAGTATAATTTGTTTTATTACACTAACATAGTTTTAAGAGCCCACACTAATGAATAATGGATTTCAGTTAAATAGCGAGACATATGCATGAGAAGTATGGGAAAAATTCTAATTTTATACGCTTATTAGATGGAAAGTGGCTCAAATCTAATCGCGGAGAAATCGAGGAGAATCTTCAAAGTAATCGTCATCGTTTTTACATACAATTTGTTAAACAAATTTGTCGGTCACGATTGCCTGATGGGAGAAAGTCGTCCGTGACCTACGGATTACTTTTCATTTTCGAGAAATGCGTGATTAACTCTTCTATTGAAAAGAAAAAGTAATCATAACATGTAAAAAAATAATTGTTTCCTAATAGGTTGGGGATTTTTTTTGTCTCGTCTATTTCAGTTAAATAAAATGTTTTCGCTTAAGAAGGCATAAAGTACAAGTAAACATTATTATAAGCAAACTAAGTAAATAGTGACTAATAAATCAGAGGAAATAAAACGTAAATTAATGCATTTTCACAGTTTGAGTGAATATTCTTCAATAAATCAATGACCCTTGGAGAGCCACCAGTTGAATAAGAAATTTGTAACTTTCTGAAGAACAAGGTCACCTGCTGACCCACATTAAACATTCTCAAATCGAGACATGGTTCCGCTTCGAACGTTCTACAAAGGTCCGGTTTGATGCTATTTAACGTTAAATATCTTACAGTTACTACTCACTTAAATTTTCCAAACAATATAAAATCTAAACAAAACGTGATTTCAATTAGTATCAAAAAATGCTGATACTTTATGATTAATAACCACGCGTGTCTGGTATACATGAATGTGATACGGCGCGTTTAATCGTGTAACACAACAATTTAACGCCTTTTATGACTAATTATATCTACCTTGTTAAACATGTACACACTCAATTAAAAATACTCTGTTGTAAAACACATATTGTGTTAAATTAGTATAGCAACCAAAAAACATTACATTATTTGTGTACTTATATGAACGTATTTACTTTAATTTATTTTTTTTGCTTGAAATTGGTTGATTTGTTATAATATACTATTTAGAATAATCAGATACTTTCCAAAATTAAATAATAAAAATCTACGTTTAACAGAACGTGTCTACCGCAATTTGCAAACAAAACTCGATTCTGATAACGGAATATTCTATTTGATAGGTGATTAGGGTCAACGACCGCGCTAAAAGTGTTTTCACTTTATTACTATGAGTGCTGCTCAAATTTTTCCATACTCCTCTGCATCACACTTTGAGTAGTTTTAAAAATAGTAGCAAGATATGGAATTAATCACTTAATTCTTAAAACTAAAGTTTCTATTAAATGATTAATTAACTGAATCCTTCAATAGAAAACTGGTTTAAAAAAAATAAAAATAATTTCACGTGGTTTAGGTGCTTTAAAGAACCAGCCGAAGATGCCTCAAATTTACATATCAAAGTACAACAGATTTGTTGATGCTGTACTGACACGAATAAACAGAATGTTGGGGAAACAATACGATCCCGTGCGAGTCAAACTTTTGACTGCATCTCAGAGAAACAACATGAAAAACAAAACCAAGAACACGAAAAATAAGAAAAGAACTGCCGGAAAAGATGCGCCCAATCTAATGACTGAAAAAACAAACAAAATGGGAGAACTGGAAATAGCAAGGTAGTATTCAGGGTTTTGATAAAATTGCATGGCAAATTCATAGATTGCGATATTCTAGGCTAGTTGGTGGCAAATATGGGGCTCAGCGTACTTCCCGCCAGTCAAGAGACTCCGAAGAACCGGAGTTTGTTCTAATATCCAAAACGGGGAGTTCTAATGACTTTGAGGACCAAAAGCAAAGTTTCAATCAAAATCGCGCCGCTCCAGTCAGGCAGAATAACAAGAGAAAACCCGCTACCAGCAACGTTCCAAAGAAGACAACAACAAACAAGAAGAAGGCAACAATAACGGTGAGTAAAAACACTCAAAAATCACAAAAAAAAATTAAATAATTCTTATAGAAAACGGGAAACAAAGTCAAACAAACCTCAGCCAAAAACAAGCAGAAAGCAAAGGCCACTCTTTTCGGGTTGAGCACTTTGAAGCGAGATGGTGATGTGACTGTTAACATGACTCCCAAATTTACTACCGTAAAAAGCAACTTCGTAATGGGACCTTTAACATTAAGAGTGGAAAGAGAAGTGAGTAATTCCAAAGCAATCTATTTTTAATCGTAAACTTTAAAATCGCGATTCTATTGAAAAATTCAGGTGGGAAGAAGTGGAAAAAGAGAATTGAGGAGCGCAACAGCCACAACTGCAGATATGTTCGGAAGACTAAACCTGAAATTGGTGCATGGCGGTGCAGCTTCATTACAATCAATCAGGGTGTTACAGCCTAAACAGGTATACAAATCTATTAAATACCACAAAAACATGCAAAATTGCCATACTTATAATACGTTTTTTAAGGTGCGAATCGATACGCCAGATAATCATGACAAAACCACGGAATTTATGTGGAAGAGAAGTCCACAGATAGCGTCAATAGTGACGCAAAAACTTGGAGCTGTGACTAGATCAATGCTCAAGCCTCCACCACAATCCAGGCCGTAGATTTAGCAACTGGCAAAATCACTATATTAAATTAATCATCCTAAACTTGAATTATACCTGAAGTGTACCTGTTGAGTCCAGCAACCTTAAACCATGTTTATTAAGAACATTTTAGAGCGGCGCCATACTTTAGGTCATTGAGACAAGGTGGAAGTGTTTACTTATGTATTTATTTATTTATATTTATTACATTATTTTCAAGTACAAAAACACTGTGGCTTGTTTCATATCTTTATTGATGCATAATAAAATATAAAGAGGTTTTCAAGTATCGCAAAGTTAACAACTGAAAAGACCCTAATTTAAAAAAAAACAATGATATGATTAATAGCTGAGTAAAAGTTCATCGTCACGAAATTCTGCCCAGTTGATGACAATCCTGAATAAAACGTGGCTACTGACAATTTAAAAATACTATTTACTGGCCCTGTATAATACTGTGAATGATGAACAAAAACAAGCATGTTATCTTACAAATAATAATATGTTTGAAAAAAAATACCTTGCCGAAATCATATACATGTTTTCCATTAATGCAAATTTCAACTACGCATACAATACTACTAGTAGGCGTAATGTGTAAAATACCGAAAGCTATGAAATCACAAAATAATCACTATTAATTACACAATTTCGTAATAAACTTTTCACAGCAAAACCAATTGCATCCAGATGGGAATGAAGAATTTTGGAACGAGATTGCAAAGAAAACCACAAAACCTTACATACTCACGTAACGCAAATCCTTGCAAAGAAGTGATACAGTTCTGTTTGGAATTGAGCCAACAAAATCAAACAAACCATCTAAATTACCTAGCAAAGCAAACTAATCTGACCATTATCAGCTCCAAGTAGTAGCAATCGGTTCAATGGTAAAACTGCCATGGCCGTTAATAAGCCCTTAAAAGTATCACCTCGTAACTTTGTACTGCTGTAAGAAGAATCGAAGGAAATTTCCGTATGCACTCCGACGCGGTTTGCTGTCGTAGCGCTGATCAGTTCAGTTTGTTCATAGGCACATAAGCAATGTGCTGGTTCCGTTGCTCCCCTAGGAACGCAAACGGTACTAGAAAACGGACTCAGATAGTTGAACGTGCGAATGGGATGAAGAAAATGTGCGTAAAACAGACCATCAGCCAATGAGGAAGAAATCGGGTTTACTTAGTAAAAGGAAAAGTACCAATGGAACAATATCGATATGATTTATGCATTTACATTAATCTGATTGTTTGATAAAAATATAAAGTTATGTGTTAATGCGTGCTGACTATCAATTCACTAAAAGGATTGAATATTGGGTTTTCCGCCTCATCCTTTAGTCTGGGATGCATTCAAAATATTGGAAAACAGTTGGGGGTGGTTATAACTAAACTGGCCAACAAAATGGGAGTTACACAGCCATATTTGCTATAACTTTGGAGCTGGAAAATTTCTGACTTCTGCTAGTGATTTGATTTATGTTTAAATTGTTATCTAGAGCCGAACTTTTTCTGCTTGCGAAAATCGAATACTTTAGATACAGTTTCAGAGTGGCAAATAAAACATTGCAAAGTTTGTAAAACTTTGACATGCCTCCAGTTGCACGAAACAAGATTTTCCATATTCAACACTAAAGGCGTATAGATAAACCTTAGAACTTCAAATGGCTTCAATACAGCTTTGCGACCGTATTTCACCCAGTTGCCAACGGAGATTAAGTTTAGCGACAACGAAACTGTCAACCTCACCAAGATGAGCCGAGATATGCAGCAGAACACCACCATCGGAAGTAGCCTGAAGACTAAACTCGACATCAACGCCGTCAGGCCGTAGAAAGGCAAGTCTTACTCGAAAGGAAGGAAGCATGATAAAGGGAAAAAGATCCATGGATCAAGATCGCCATGCAATCGATGTGGACGCGACCCGCACGCCAACAAGGATTATCCGAACATCGACAGCGAATGATGTTACAATTGCGGAAAAATGAGACACCTGGCTCAAGTCTGCAGGTCTAAGAAGAAGACCTATGTGAGGATCATGGACGTTCACATTGGAACCAAGAGGAAAGGCAAATTCGTCGATGTCAACATCAACGGCTTCCGGGTCAACATGCAAGCGGACATAGGGGCGGACATGTCGATGATTAGCGAGAACACGCACAAGCAGATCGGCTCCTCGGCTCTCAACAAGCGCACGTTCAAGGTCTGCAACGCAGATGGAAGCGAAATCAAAGCATAGGCTGAGACCTAAACTTGTACACTGCTTCTGCTCCAAGTGAGGTACTTAAAAATTGTCGCCAGCCAACAAGAAATGAGCGCGGGCCAGGCCAGGATCAAAGCCCTGGAAGACGTTGTCGTGCAAGGAAACGCCAGTTACAGGGGAACCACATTCTGCTGATAAAAAAACTGGGTGCACAGCGGGAGCGCGCGTATCGTATAAGGGAACCACATTCTGCTGATAAAAAGAAAATGGGTGCACAGCGGGAACGCACGTATTGTATAGGGAAACCTCGTTCTGCTGATAAAAAAGCGCGTATCGTGCAGAGGAATCCTATATTACAGGAACCCTCTTTTGCTGGGATAAATAAGCCTGCGCATGGTCGCGAGAGTAAGTGAGTCCCGTTTTTTTCTCCAGATTACAATCTGAAGAATCAGGTTGTGTTTCTGGGGCGCGCTTCAGTGTACTTTGAGTGGACAGAACCCGGCAGATTCCAACTTTTAAGTCTAGACAATTTTGATTTAGAATTTAGATTTTAGCCGTTTAGTCTGCGGATATTTTTCTTGTCTAGCCAGACCAAGATTGGCTATAGAAAAACTTTATTAAGCGAGTGCCAGGGGGTTCCCGAATTTAAGGATAAGTCCCATTTGACTAACCGATTTATTTCGCGATTATTTGGGAACAATTAGTGACTGTTTGGTGAATTGTGAACTAGTTCCTAGAACTAGTTATTGCGGATGTGGATGACAGCTCTCCTGACTCAATCCGCTACCGCAGCCTCTTCAGGCTTGTCAACCAGTTTGCCGCTCCCCACGCTCGTTCGAAGACGCCAGGCTTGCATGGGATCACGTTGCCCGGGGCGCACCGCGGGGAGGCTAGTTGACTTTGTCCCCAAATGGTGGTACAGACAGTCAAGAAGGCTCTCGATGACTCATCTGGCAGCCTCGACAGTTGTGGCAGCGTACAACTACACACCACACCATGAACTTCAAGACAAATCGCCAACCCAAGTTTTCTTTGAACGACACATCCGTACTCCCCTGGACGTCTACAAACCGATAACACGGAAGAAGTGAAGAAATGAAGGCCTGTTCGACCGACACAATCGTTTCCGAGCCAGTATTCTAGAACATTTTAGGTTGGGACTGGTATTATTGTAATGTTCGAGAACATTCTCCGCCTAACTATAAGCCTTGGTATATCGACTATAAATATCCGATTGTTTAACAATATACCGGTTGTTTAATCAACTATTCGGCTATTACTTCCAAACTCATTACTGTGCATAGAATTTCCGTCCTAAGTCGTCTATGAAATTTTAGCTTCAACATAAAGTCTAGATTTTATAAATCAGTCAAAAAAATATTATCCCTGCAAAACTGCAAAGTTGATTTTTTGAGACTACCCTGTAAATAAAAGAAATAGGCGAAAAAATCCTTTTGAGACATAAATTTTTCGATTATGCCTTAGAATCGTGCTAGATAACACTTCAAACACCAATAAAATCGCTTAAAGCAATCAGAAGTTACCCAGCTCCAAAAGTGACCAGCTATAACTAATACACGTTAGATGCAGACAAATCGCTCTATTTAGCGACCGGTTGTTAATTTTCTATTTTAATTACTCACGGCCTGCTCACGTTGTAGATTATGTCATTGCGAACACTTGTTCTTAGTAATGTTCCTTGTTCAAATGCGTTTTTCTGAAATGTTTCCAGTTAATTTTCACAAAATCCCACGCGCGTCTTTGATTTTCCTCTTTCTTGTGTGAATTTTGTAAAGATTAACTGTGGAAAAGTGACAGGAAAACGTCCACTAAGAATATTGTTCGTTGCAGTTAATATACAAAGTAACCCACTGAAACCGTTGAGTAACTAAACTACAAAATTACAATTTTTTAAAGCATATTTCGATAAACGGTAAAACTTACCTCATGTGGTGCTTGAAACGTCCATCACTAACACTCCATACGCTGATATTTTGATCCAAACTGCTGGAGACTAAAATCTCATCAGTCACTGCAACAATCTGTAAAAATGAATGCGTTTCATACTCAGATTAAACAGATGCTTTTCTTAACATTTTTTAATGGAAGCAACGAGTTTTGCATTGCCGGCTACATAAAAAATATTAGAAAAACATTAGTCAAGAATAAGTTTTTATTCGAAAGTAATTTTTGCTACCAATTCCTTCATCAAGAGTTCAACTATCAAAAAAATTATTAAATTCATTATTGTTATTGTTTGGAAAATGCGTGATACTTAAAAAAGGCTTTCGATTAACAACAAATGTAAAAGAAAATTATATTAAAACGTGCTAAAGCAGTGAAGAAGAGAAAGAAGAACAAGTTTCAAGCTGATGAACGGAAAAATGAGAATAGCAGCTAAAGAAGAAAAATTGAAGCTTTGAGCTAAATAGAGTGGCAAATAACGCTTCTGGAACAAATTTTAGGATTAGAGAAATGGAGAATTAATAAAAAAACAAGCAATCATCAAATATTGTTTTTGAAGATAAATATGTATACACTTCCAGGTTTTTCCAAGCGTTTTTCTATGAGAAACTTTGATCATTTTTAAACATCATCAGGCATTTTTTAAGCGTTGTTAGAAAACTTAGTATTAAATCTTTAAAAGGCTAATGTGATTTGATATTCATCAATTTACCACAGCAACTAAACGGTGGGGAATGGAAGTTTTTGTTTTCATGTAGCCATTTGTTAGTATTTTTTACTTGGAGCGAACTGTGCAGATAATAAAAGAACATTTACTAAATCCCTAAATAAATCAGTAGACATGCCTGAACGTACTTGAAACTGAAAGACAAAAAATTGAAAGATATATATAATAACTATAGCCCTGAATGCCAACTGTAATAAAATAAGGGCAAAACCTGGACGAAGAGGAGAAAATACTTCAGTTACTAAAATGAGAATCGAAAGATATTCAATATACATAAACAAATTTCTAAAGAATCAAAATAAAGAATGTAAGAACTGGATAATTAAAGAAACACTACAGACGACGAAGAAATCAGAGATTTTACTTTGTTCAACAAAATTCAGTAATCGCCTTATTCGGTCATCGTTTATTGGAAGCTTTAGTGGCCGATTTTATTAGAATGCGGAAACTTTTAAGATAATTCCAAGCTGTACAACATTGGAGGCAAAGCTTTGACTAAAAGAACGATAGGCAAGTTCCCAGCTGATGAAAGGTGAAAAAACTGCGAAGATTTGAGCGGTTTCAAACAATAGAAAGTTACTGGGCAGGAAGGCTAAAACACATTTCTGTGCAAATTAGTTACTTACTTGTAAAACTTCTCCTTCATGAGCTCTCCAGCTCGATATAACTAATCCGGTTCTGGTATCCAACACTGTAATGCTTCCAGATGACTGTCCCGCAGCTACCCAACTTCCAGACGGTCCAATAGCAAGGCAACGAATCAATCCCGAAGGATTCACAGTTATCTGAAATTATTTCCGAAATTTTCACATTTCAATAATTTATTCGGTTAATTAAAATAAAATGCACCCAAGCATGCAAATTGTTTATAGAAAAAAACATGATTACCTTTAAATCGTAAACGTAATTGGCTAATCTTCCATCAATCACTTTAATGGTTCCCTCTGTAGTGGCTGAAAAAATTAGGCTAGAAGGGGACGGCATACTTTTCACTACATTAACAGGGGAGAACTTTGGAGATTCCAGTTGACCCACCACAGCGCCCATAAAAGGATCCCATAGGTGGACGACGCTATCACAAGAAGCAACCTAAGAATTAAAAGTTTTAACAATAAATCCTGTGCATGAGAATACGAATCTCGGTTTATTAAACTAAATAAATACAGCTCGCAAAATTGAACTCACTAATCTCATGCTTTCAATAAAGGTGAGGGATAAAATTGATTTTTTATGGGCTGCATAAGTCCATTGGCAGCTAGAAGTAGAAGTACCATCCCCTTGACTTCTTAGAGACCAGAGTTTAACAGTTTTGTCCCGCGAACCGGACATGAAGCTGTTTTCGTTGTCCAGAATATATAGGCTTTTAACGCTGTTACTATGCCCTTAAAAATTAAAATAAACTATGAGTATTTACAGTTGCTTAATAAATCCGCCATCGTCAACCTACCTACAAAAGTCTGAAGTTTAATCTGATTAAAATGGAAACTGGTGTCTTTTTCGGGACGTCCAGTTTCATGCGCCCAGTAACTGAACCAGTTCCCTTTTAAATGCCGTGTGCTGTTTTCCATCCTGTTGCTCACCAAACTCAATAAATCTGTTGTTGCTTGACTGTTTGATGTTTCAGTTTGAATATCAATGCGGTTTCCTACATGAACAGTATTTAAACTATCCAATTTTTTTTTAATTTAATGCGCTTACCTATAACACTAATATTGCTTGCAACGCTATTGGAAGTTGGCCCTGTTTTCAGATCAGCAAGATCTGCTGCGCTCATTTTGTCTTCAATTTGTTTAGATCTCGCGATTTCTTGCTCCCATTCCTGGCAAAGCTCTCGAATGTGTTCATGGTTTTTCAATGTAATATCTAACGAATTCACGCCCATGTGTTTCAAGAAAGGGATGTAAGTAACGTAGGCCAGCTCTGCGTTAAAAACTTCTCTGATTTCTTCAGTTGCCAAGTATTGCATGTTATCCTCTGCTATGCGTAAAGTGTTTGGTGAGTGGGTACATAATTTAGTAACCGATTTTTTACCTATGCAAGCTCCCTGAGTTGAAGACAAACTGTCCAGAGACTCTGAGTCCTTCAATCGCAAATGGGGTGCGGAAATCGGTCGCCCGCCTATTGTAAACTCAATAGAACTGCGTGATATGGACTGAGCTTCCGCCGATGTTTTTGGAGATGATTCTGTCTCGAAAGTTGTCTGCAAAGTGCCGTTAATGTAGCAGGTGAACTGAAAATTTGACGCACTGCTTACTTTTTCATTAGTTGCCGCCGCGACTTTATCAAAAATATAAAAGAAACGCTGCAACGCAGGCACTGCCAGATATTTCCTGGTCATATCTGAACCGATTCGAATAGACAACACATACAAAGTGTCGATATATTTACGAGCAAGGACACTTCGGGCTATGTATCCATTTGGATACAGGTATTTAGTTGAACCAAGTAATCGAACCGTGGGGTAAAATATACCTGAAAGAATGTCCTAAAAGATCAAGTAAATTTAAGATCCATAAAGTTTTGTTAAATCAAAAAATTACCTGTAGTTGATCCATTAAAGTGGCGTCGCTCAAATATGGAATAATATGCTTCAAAAGAGCTAAACAAGATATTAAGCCTCCCTCTAGAGTTTGCGTTAACTTCCGCTTGCATAGCGCCACTAATTCACTCATATGGGGAAAATATTGGAACAAAATTAGTTTTTCTCCATATAGAGCTAAAACATTTCCGTTTGATCACAATAATATCCACAAAAATATAACAACATACTTACCGGCTATGCTAGCAAGGCATTCAAGCACATTAAAGGCACTATCGTCTCCAACCACCTTGCTTGAAGTTACACTTAAGTTGCTTGACCGATTTTTCGTGTCAGCTTCCTCGGTAATGCCGGTAAAAAGCAAATTTTCTCTACCCACATAGCACAGGGTAAGCATTTTTAGTAGATTCCGAGACAAATATCTGGACATTAGCACTGGACCCAATCTATGGGATAACCAGATAATTGAATCAGAACTCATATCTGAAATTTTCGTGTCGGTTCTTTTATGCTTCGAACCCGAAGCGGACAATGAACCTGCAGATGCGTGCCTTAGTTGATCGGAGCTTGCATTCGGCGAGTCCAAATATAAATCGGCATGAGAAGCGAACGCCTTTTTGTCTAAAAGACTATCCGATTCTGATTTCCTACTACCGATTTCACAGCCTGGAATACAAGATCATTTGAATATTCAAACGGTTCCAAAGCTAATAGAACTCAAACAAAGCAAACAAAATTATCAAAAAATGTCTCAGAGGAAGCAACTCACTAATATTCATGACGTTGTGCCGACTGGCTGGAATGGGAATAGTGGGAGAGGTAACATTGGAACCTCCATCTTCAGACTCTTCAGTTAAATTCAGATTCAGTTCCTGCAGTACAGTTTAAATATTGACCAGTGAAAAAAGTGTTAAATGCAGACATGCAAATATCCGTTAGCTACAATAAAGAAATTATAATATACCTCCAAACTTTGAAGCTGATGAATGTTCTCGATCAAAGTGGCGTCTAACGCCTCTTCTGCATTTGATACGTTAAAAGGCAAATCTGTCGCAATATTCAGCTCCAAGTGCTCTATAAGACTTTTCATTTGATTCTCGGACTCTTTGTCTTCATCTAAAAATTACCGTAAATTCAGGGAAAGGAAGCGGAGAAAATGTGATTTAATCCATACCCAGTTCGAACATTTCTTCCTCTTTATTCTGCTTAAACGGCTCCGCCGGACGCACCTTTATTGCTGCTCTATCGCTACTAGAAGGACTCGATTCGTCGCTAATTGATATTTCGTGACTTTCTGCATCCATATATTTCAAATGTGAGGTTTTCCTTAAGACCTTTTCACTGTGAGTGTGCAAAGTGCTGTCGAACCTATCATAATCTTTGTAGCCTACAAGAAACAGAAATTATAAACTTGATAACTTAGAGGTTTGATTAATACTAATGATAATAAAAGACAGTAAAAATGCCCTTACCTCCAACAGCTTCCACTAACGGCGTCACGAAGTGATCCAAAAAGCACTTTAAACCCAGTCTTACTATCAATCGGAGTAGAAAGCTGTGATGATAAATCTTGGCAATTTTGCCATTATATGGCATGTAGCTTTCCGAAGGTTCATTTTCGTATAGCTTCAAAACAGACTCTAACATTAGCTCAGCAGACCTCTTAGGCCCTGAAATTGGCACCTCAACCATGAATAATCACTATAAATCAACAAACTACTTACCTAAAATCCTGGCAATTGGATCGAATAGATACCAAGCAGCTAAAACAGCAGTAGGAGGATCTTCGATAAGTTCCCGAATGTGAGGGACAAGAATATTAATGGTTTCCGCATCGGTATTAGTGTTAACTGTCTCCAATAAAGCTTCCAACTGCTTGGTGCATGTTTTTACCTTACATTCGGCAATATTTTGGGCCAAAAGAATCTTGGTTCTGCAACGAAAATAATAAAAAATAATGTTGAACACTACTTAAACTGACTTGTACCGTTCAAGATTCTCATACTCGGCACACATGGTTCCATCGCAGTCAAAATGGTAAAGCACATTCAGTTCTAATGCCACATTTCGAAACTCCTTCAAGCTTTCCAAAATTTTATACAACGAGAAAAATGTCTTGGGAAACGGAACCACGCAATGCAGCAGTGGTTCCAGCAACAAATGAGCACTTGGTGGCGGAAGCCCGAAATTCGTAACGCTTGGGTAACTGAATTGCGTTTGATCTTTGATCTCAGGCCTCAGCAGTAAATTTATTATGTATGAAACGCAAGCCGGAATGTCGCTTTGGCAACTTTGAGCGATGGTAAGACATGATTTCAACCGATCAGAAAATGGTTGAGGTGATGAACTCGATCCTAATGCGCGAATTTGCTTGGAGAGGAAAATTTCGACAATTAAACAGCCTGAAAAATACGGTGTTTAGTGTGACTTTAGTATGCTTAAATTGAGTTATTAAAATATATATTACCGAGAACTTGTAGCTCTTTCACTCTTCGTGCAGATATAATTTCAGAGTAATTACATGGCACTTCAAGACTATTTCTGGAAATGCTATCCTTGGAATGTTTATATTCCAAATTGAAGTTATCCATTGGAAATGTATATGATTTGGTTGCTCTGGTTTTTACCTGAATATTTTCAAATTAAAACTTCATTAGTTCATTGAATTGCCACTTACTCTATAACGCTCGTCAAAAGTCTCCGAATAAATAAAGTTGGTAAATGCATTTTGCACTAAACAGTCTGTACCAGCTTTCTCCACTAGCAGTTCTGTATCATTATTAATTTTGTAAGTTTTCGCGCATTCAGTATGAAACGTTTTTGAAATAAAACTGTGCTTCTTCTCCAAACTTTCCAACGCACCATCGGGTTTATAGTCTTTAGGAAGACAAATTAAACCTGCAAAGCCTAATAGCCACACAAAATCCATTTAAAATTAAAAAAAATTATACCTGTATTTAAGGAAGATGTTCCACCATGAACTGATACTTGGCTAGATTTCGACTTATTTGCTACATGTGAAGTAAAAGTTGGATTTTTAGGACCGACGCTTGCACTACGTGTGGCACTAGGACTTCTATTAGGCTTCACTACTGAAGAATAAGTTTTATTTATTACTATTATTAGCAAATTTGTATGCTCGATCTATTACCTTGCTCTTCATGTAACGATGATCTGCTTCTGGAAAGCATTTTCGATAGACCTAGTGGCGACCAGTTTGACGATCCAACACCACAGTCTAAATTATCCTAAAAATACAATTTTTAAGCCATTTAAACATCAATTTTATGCGTCGTTGCACTTCAGCTTCATCAGTTTTAATTGAGACTTACATCTTCATCACTTTTAATTGCTTCTGCTATATTGCTGGTAGGATTGCTTCGATCTCGAGATCTCTGATTAGTAGCCGAACTAGTTTGTACCTTCGGTGGCGTTTTTCCCCAATAAGGCGCAGGCACTGCCCTTGGCGGATGAGGATGATAGAAAAGTTGTACTATTCCTAAAACAATTTTGAATTTGGGACGGTTTACTTCTCTGAACACTGAATCTGCGATGTGTTCTTTCTTACCCGATTTTGTTAAATAAGTGTGGTCATCCGCCAAATGCAAACAAACATTTTTGGTTTTTATTGCTGCTCTTCCGGATAATCTAAAACGATTTTCGTATACACTAAACATTTGTTGAAAACATGTATAGAAATTTACTTATATCCAAAAGTGAGGTCAATCCAATAATGTAATCGTTCAGAAACATGATTACTTTCTAGAGCTTCCCTGTGTCTTTCGATGAAATCTTCCGGGCCTGTTGCCCAAGCAGGAACCTCCAAGTCATCTAGATCTTCGTGTGTACTTCTAAATATCGAAGGATCTTAAAATAAAACGATTCGGATTGCACATGAATAGATTTGTATTATAAAGCCAAAGACCTGTGAAAAACTCTGGAATACATTCATCGGGCGTCCATTCCTGCATTCTTTGAATAGAGCTGGGATACTCCGCTGGCACCCAAATGGTTCTAACATTTTTACATAATACTGACTTTGGGGTGCGGCGAGCCATGTAAACGTAATACGTTATAGCAGATAAAACATCGGAAACATGATGAGGAACCTGCGATTAAGACAATATTAGATAAACCAGATAATGCAATAAAATATTAAGCTAAAAATTGCATTAAAAACCTTTACTTGAGTTTGGGAATGATCATAAGTTAAATCTAATTGCCGATCTCCTTTGTTTAATCGGTATTTCGACTTTTTCAAGTCTCGCCAGTTTTTGCCACATCGAGATGCAAAATTTGTGACCCAGGGGAACACGTAATGACAATTTGGGTCCCCTAATTTTCTTCCTGCTCGGCAAATAAAAATGTTAGCAATTCGAAAAGATACCCAGTAGACTATCCATTACCGGAATATTTATTTAGAGCTGAAATATAAGTAAAATTTGATATCTTCCTATCAATCCACAGTTTGCATAACTCCTCGAGACTTTCATTGCAAACCTGCACTTTATCGTATGTTCTCAGTCCGCAAAATTCGCATTTCAAAATATTTGAGTCAAACTTATGACCCAATTTCCTAGAACATTCAAAACCAAAACTGTTTGCTCATTGAACATGAAAGGTCATACTCACCAACAATCTCTAACAGTGGAATGTTTCACTTCAGTTTTAGGCAGGTTTTGAACATAAATATTTGAACTAATTTTAGGAAACACATAAAGCCACAGATCTTCAGTCAGGTAAATATCATGTAAAGTAATATCACCCAGAGTTAAGCTTCGGTCATGAAGCGACTTCAGCAACTGTATTAATTGGTATATAATGAATAGAGGTTTTGTATAACACTTATCTAGAAAATAGTCAATTGAAATAAAATACATGTAGCAAAGCAGAGTTTTACCTAAAATAGCAGGACTAAAAGTAACACAATTGGACAAATTATGCTCCAGATATGGAATGTGAAGAAGAAATACAGCGTTAAGGGTTTCCACGCCACAAAATGTGGGCAAAACATTCAAATGTACATCAAAATCTCTTGAGCTGTTCATAATTAAAGAGGGGTCCAGCGTATTAACTATTAAGCAACCATACATCCTCAAAATAATTTCCCTAAGAGCATCATTATAATCTATTAATGTGACCTAGAAAGACATCATAAATTTGGCGCTCGGCAACTTATAATGGGCTGACTATTAAATACCTGCGTTTCTTTAGTAGCTTCAGTACTTTCGCCATATTTCTTAAAAGCGTTTTTCCAAAGATTCTTAAAGTTAGTCTGCGAAATATATTGCATTAATTGCGCAAACAATAAGGGATTATCTTCGCCTGTGGCATTCGGTCTTATTCTTGGCAATGGGATAACTTTGAGATTTTTTTTCTTATAAACAGATACAAATATCTTGACCCATGGTGAACCAGGCTCTTCTGTTGTGTTCCAAGACTCTAGTTTCGACTTTTCTATAAAGTCTCTCAAGTGAAAGCTTTTGAATAATGACCTGAGATGAAGAGCAAAAGAATTAAAACATTGTTTGGATGGTATTTGAACAGTTTTATGTACATGTTGCTTAATTGGTTGTGGAGAAAGTTTTCATTATGTATTTGCGAGTCGATGGTTTGATACAAAGGTTAATTAGGAAGGCCTACATACAAACTTTGCATATAATATGTACTTGATAGAAGCCTTAAAAGTCTACCAAAGATGCACTTTCGAGAGGCATGGATGTTAATGAGAACATTGATTTCTAGCAATAATTAAAGTTGTCAACATGTTTGTGATAATTATTGATAATCGGTGCTTACTTGAGCCATTGTTTATGCACTAAAGCAATGAATCGACTCTCATTTACTGTTTTTTTCAGGTACTTGGGTGGAATTCCCAATTCTTCAAATACTAATTCCATTTTTGGTTTCCGTTCGATTGCAAATTATTTCAGCATTGTACAGCCATTCCAATATCACAGGTAACACGACTAAATATTTACAGTTTATTGTTATCACTTATTTTTAATAATCATTTCATTGCAATGAAAAAGTTTGCAAAATATAAACATAACCTTCTGTTTGCAAACAGCTGTATTTGATTAAAATGTCAACGGGAAAAAGTGTTTTTTGCCTTCTGCTCAAGTTAAAGAGAGAAAGTGTTAGAAGCTGCGTTTTATGAAGCTGCATTTTATCTTTGATTCATATGAGAAAATCGCATTAGATAAACAAGGATATCGCATAGGACTACCCTCAACTAATCATTGGCACTGATTTCTAGAAATTTGGTGTAGGATAAATTCTGAAGTTAATTTAAAATAATGAATTTTTGCAAAAATCGTTTAAAACCTCCTCCAAACTACTAAATATGCATTTTTATGAGCACACTTGGATGGGATTACTAATTGCCACGTGCCAATATGACCGTTCCAGCCAATGTCAGAAAGTTGCAAAGTTCGTTTTTTGGTGAAATCTGCTGAAAATGGTGGGTAAACCAGGAAAAAAACAGTAACATCTACTTTATAAACTATTTATTGATTTGCCTATTGAAAAATTTACCTGAATAAATCAAGTAGTTGGCTTAACAGGTTTAAAGCTCTTAAGATCAGCAAATCTTCCGTAGCACCTATTAGTTGCAAATATAGAACTAATTCAACTTAAAAACCTAACTTAATTCAGCTATAGTAAGAATCTATTTATTTACAGTCTTATATGTTCATCTAGCCAATTTTTTAACCCCAATACATTTGAAAAATATTCTTAACTATCACCTATAATTGTAGAAATTGCTTCTACTATAATCAGAATAGCCCCTTGAATATTGCAAGTTACTATTTCCATAATAAGCATTACGCTCATTTTCCAATAATCCATTTGGAGGTATATTTATTGGTTCAGTTCTCCCATTCCGCAATTCGCTATTAAACCTTTCATTGCTTGGTCTAAAAATTGGGATATTCGCATTTGCTTGCCGATAATTCGTATTATAACCAGGACTTGTAACTGAATTGTAATGACTGGATTCATGTTGTGAAGACTTGTATGGATATGAGCTTTGTTGGTACTCAATACGGCCGTAAGACTCATCTTGTTGGAAAAAGAACATAATAAATAAAACAGCCCCGCCTATTAAACCTAGCACTAGGCCAGGCATTAGAAATTGCCTAAATAGCTGGTTTTTTCTCAATTCCTTAAAAATGTTTCCAGCAGATTCCAAGATTTTCACCAAAACAATAGGTACAAGTCCGATACGTCCTAAATTCTTAAGAACTGTTTGCAGCTCACTGTAATTATCTCCATACGAATTTCCGATGTCACTGAAGATATTTCCGAAAACTCGGCTGATCAACTGGGGTAATGAATCGCCAACTTTTTCCAAAATCTTCATTGCGACTTCAGTAAAAGCATCGTTTCTTTTTCCGGTTGCAAATGTTTGAATGGGAGCGTGGTTTATGGCATTGTAACGATTGGGATAGTTATACTGGCCTTCATAAGAAGACAATGTTGGCTCATTATGATATATTCCAAGTGGATTTGGAATATTATGCACTGAAGTTGCCGCCGACTTTTGGAACTCTGGAAAATAAATCAGTGTTGTTAGTTAAAAATGTAATGCATTAGTCTGAGCATACCTAACTCTAATTTTAACTCATCTAACTTCTGTTGCAACTTATTCAAGACGCTGTCTTTGGATTGATGGTTTCGGGCTTCGCTGATTTCACCCACATACTCATTTTCTCGAGGTTGATTCATATTTTCTTCAATATATTTCTTGAACACATTCGCAAGTTGAGTAAATGTGTCTTCTCCAACTGAAAAGGAAATTTCTGTCTTATTGATTTTGGATCTATAAAAAGGCATGAGGAAATAATAGACAGAAAAAGTATTTAATTTTATTATAAACTACTCAACAGAGGAACTGGATTAATCTTGACTGCTTAGAGCGAATTTATTTGTGTTCGAAGCGTTGTTTGGTGCAATATTTTTTCGGTTAGGGCGTGGTTTAATTAGTGCTGTTATCGAATAAATTTTAAAAGCATTATTTATTATTATTATTTCAAAAGAAATTCCTGGGTTTCTTAATTCCCTTTTGAGTTAAGTTGAAATACAGTCAGGAAAATATACACAATTATTATTATTACCCAATCATGACTTTTTCAACATATTTCAATAAAATAAAAATAAAGTGTTCGTAATTTTCAATAATCTAATTATTTTTTAGCTTAATTTTCTCTAGCAAAACTTACGATCGTATCCAGCTGGACGTTCCTTGCCTTCACCTGGTTGCATTTTCGTTCTTCCAACATATTCATACATTGATTCTTTTGGCGAAACTGGCAGCTGTTCATCAGCATGCCTTTTACCTCTTCTTGCGTCCATATGCATCAAATCCTCATTATTAAATGTCTTCGAAAAAATGTTGCTTCCCCTGTGTTCTGCTTCAGTCTCTTTGGGCACGTAGGGCGCATTACCTTGCTGCTCAGTAGCTGGTTGATACGAAGACTGCTGAGGAGGTGATGGGGTTGGTTCAGCAACTAACTGGGGAGTTTGGCCGGATGGAGGACTGTTTATGGAATATACAGCTTGCTGAACAATGCCGCTTTTATAAGGAATGGTTGGCTGTTGCTTGAATCGATTCTGCCCGCTGTAGCTGACGTCTTTGGGTCCAATATAAGACACCAACTTTGTTTTATCTTCATACAGTTGCTGGGAAGGGTTGTATTGAACGGGACTTGAGTAAGCAGCTCCGGAAGTCTGAGGGTTGATTTGATAGTTCTGAGAAGGCTCATAATATTTTGGCTCATTCAGGCTTCTAATAACTTCTGGAAGTTCAACATTATTGATACTTAAACGCTGCTGTTCTGAATCTTTTACCTTTTAAGTCATAGATTCGTTGCTGTAGCGACATTATTGAAGCTGTATCATCCGGCGTCTGTGAATAGCCACTTCGTTTGGTTAAACTGGTTATGACATTTTCTAGATTTTCAATTTGCTGAGTTAAGTCCGATACTACGACGAATTTGTTGCTTTCAGGATTCTGCTTAGTACCAAATGGTTGACCCATGTTTGGTCCTGAATAACTACTCGAGCCATAGTTAAGGTCTAAATAAGAAACATTTTGCGATTACAGTTAATGTTATTGGAAATAATTGTAAGATTTCACCTTGGTAAGTTCTTCCAGGTTCACGAAATGTATTTTGATAATTCCCATAATTTTCCTTGCTGTTAGCATATTTATGCGGCAGGCTCTTATCGAAAAGTTCTTCATAATGGGAGCTACTTGGGCTATTGCCTGGATAAATCGTTGCAGGTTGATAACCAAAATTTGGATAATTTATATTGGAAGGACGAGGAGCATTGTAAGGTGATGACATGTAATTTGGGTTCCAATATTTATTAGACGTAGAATATTCAGGCTGAGAGTACAAATATTGTTGATATTTACTGTCTGGATACGATCCAAAAACACTGGGAACATTGAAGTTGTAATTTTCTGAATTTGTTGGATAGGCTGGATTGATATAGGGATTTGAAATATCATCGTATTTATTTGAAATAGTCCCACTGTAGGGACTGAAATATGGTAGAACATATCTATTTGCATTGGGATTATACAAAGAAGTTGGGTAAAAGGAATACAGATTTGAGTTAAGATTAGAATATTCTAAAGGATTGGGACCATAAACATTCAATATAGGTTTTCCGGAAATTCCTTGAGAAATGAATGCCTGATTTCCATTCTGAGTCGAAGCATAACTTTTGATTAAGTTCTCCAAACGGGTAAGTTGATCAGGATTACTATGCGACATGCTCTGACTTAAAAATTGCTGAGCAGCTAAGGAATTTTTATCTGTTGTAAGTGGATAAGTTGAAGTTGTTTTATACATTTGATGCGTATATCATAACAGTTCATCATTACCTAAAGTATCAGCACCAGCGGCTATGTTCAGCGAAGCCTGAGGAGACATGCTATCTAAATTGGCCCCATTGTGGCTTATTGCCTGGCTTAGCAGGGTCTGAAACGATTGTTTTACATCTAGTTTGCAGTTTTATTTCCAAACAATTTACTCACCTGCAAATCATTCTTTCCATTAACACCATCTTCCAAATCAAACCCACCAAAAGTATCTTGTTTTGGTCTCAGGTTGTTAATCGCCCTTTGAAGATCTTTGAGTTCAGCTTCTATTTTTGAATCTTCGGATTTGGACTGCGGATTGTCGTTCATCGCTTTTAGAAGCTCGCTCAAACTGCCCTAAAACCTCTTATTTGTAATTCATGCAATTTGTTAATTTCGAGGTTCTACTTCAGTTTTTTGGGATTTTTCTCGTTCATTTAGGAATTTTTTAAATGCCTCGAGTGTTTCTTCATCGTCAGATTTTTTTGGTGGTTGTAGCAGGTCTTTGATGGAGCGGCCACTATTTTTATTTCCGTTGTTGATATTTTGGTCTAAACCTCGATCAGTTTAAAATTATTAGAAAATGAGATTATGGGAAAAATATACCTGCATTAGTGAGCAGATCGATTAGCTTCAGCTTAAATTCCAGATCATCGAGTTTGCTGTTTCCACTGGCTCTGGCAGTTGAAAGTGTATTATTTCTTTTCGCTATTTGACTGTTTCTTGATGATGAAGACCGTGCTGATGCTAAAGGGTAGTCAAAAGCGATGTTTTGCGGGATTTTATCTGCCTCTCTTTCGTATTCAGAATAATATTCTTGACTGTTGGTTGGTTCAAACTAGAAAATTAAAGTTGACTGATAAAAAATAAATAGTTACAAGAATGCAGTCAAGCAAAAAGTAATGATAATTTCACCTTTTGGAAGCGATCTGGATCAGTTTTTGTCAACTGCATTAAGGCGCTAATTGTTTTATTATTTAACATATCTCTTTCATATTGGGAAGCATAAAGCTGATCTAAAAAAGTTTTAAAATAACTTTTAGTGTGGCTTTGTTTATGTGTGGGGCGTTTGTGAAAATTAATAAAATTATTGTCTTACATTTCTTCTGCAATTTTTTTTGAAATTCGTGCAGTTTTTCTTCAAACGATGTAGCTGTTGAAACGGGCTGAAAAATAATCATCAATCTTATTTAGAGACTTAAAAAATCTTTGCTACTACGCATTTACATTGTAGGGAGAAATATATAATAAACTGAGCAAAAAAAGCAAGAAATAATGTTGAGCCAACAATTTGATATGTAATTTAATGAACACATGGATAATTGAAGTTCCTGGAGAGCCACAAAAAACACAAATTTATATACTTTTACTTTTATTAAGGTTTTTATTGTTATAAAACCAGTCGATGCTACCTCTTTCCCTCAATATAACCGCTGCAGAATTATTTATCCATTTTCTTGCATTCATGTTCAATTAGATAATTCAAAGTTTCTAGATATTCTAAAAGTATTTCATTTTTAAATCCTATGCTTTTTTTACCTCTGAATTTGGAGGCGTGTCTGATGTTACATTTCTAACATCTGAATCATGCGCCGCCTTTTGAAATAAACCGTTTAATTTGCTGTCATCTTCAGCAGCTATAGAAGCGATTTCTTCTCCTTGACTTGGCATTGGCGAGACTTTTGGCCATGGCCATGGCTTTGGAGTGTGGGCGACACCAAGGACAGAATCTATATCAATATCTATAGAAAAAACGACAAATTTTCGTCAATAATTTCTTTGGCAATTTTATTTAATATATACCTTCAAAGTCACTGGTTCTAAACCCGCCACTATCGTGTGTCTTTTTATCCGTTTTTGCATTGGTTTTATCATATACATTTTCCATCAAAGCTTTCAAAAATTTTATTTCGCGGTTTTGTCGTTTTAATTCCATCTCAAGAAACGCTTCCTTTTCTTTTTCCTTGTTCACTATTAACTGCGTTTCAGTTACATGTTGCTCGGTTTGCTTCAGGTCAGCTTTAAGTTTATCTATTTCTTGTGTTGAACGACTTTGCAATTCTTTTTCGGATTGGTAAGAATCGTCTGGAAAATCACGTTTCTTTACAATTAAACCAGTAAACTTCCAGCATTACGAATTGATGTCGTTTAAACTCACTCTGTATTTTAAAGCGCTTTGCATCCTGATTAAGTTGCCAGCGTTTGAGAGTGTTATACAAATACGAACTTTCCAAGGAATTGTCATCTTTTACATTATCACCACTTTGGCTCAACTCTTTAATCATTTTCTGTTGGTCCTTCAACAGGCTCACTAGCTCGCTTAGTTTTCTCACTTCCGTTTTTAAGTCTTCAAACTTTTGCTTTTCTTCCTGAGTTTGAGATATGCAAGCTGGATTGTTTTGGGAATTTGTTTGGCTGTTCGCGTTTACCTGATATCCTCCCAAAACTAAAGGATCGTTTGAATCTATTTGGCTGGGAAAAGCTGCTTCATACCCCGCATGGAAATGAGCTTGTAATGTTATATTGATTTTTATTTATTTATTTACCTCGGCTGTCTTCCTGAGGAGCGTCGGAAAGGGGACGATACTTCTGGTTTGAAGCAAGCAGTTGGGCTTCCGGAAAAGTTTCTTCATTCGCAGCGAGTGGAGCAGATGCTACTCGGTTATCAAATCTCGGTGCATCCGGTAGAGCTCGTTTCTTCCTAATTTGGTCTATTTCGTTGGATAGTTCAGAGCTTTGCAACTTGGAACGCGCTTTGTGAGCCGAATGAAGGTTGGTAGGTTTATTGGGAGATGGAGAGGTTGACGATTTGTGTTCCTATAAAATAATTAGCTAAAGATGATGATTTTAATTTCTATTTAAGTAATTGTTGAGTAAAATTATACACTTTCTTTTCGTGCATCAGGGAAATATATAGTTGGTCAAAGCTCTAGGTTGATTAAAGTGTGTTGTTTTTAAAGTGGGATAAATTGATGTTTTGCAAATTTTCGATTTCAATTAATATCAAATCAGTTAACTGTTGCTTGAACGGAAACTAACCTCTATTATGCATCCAAATTGGCAAAAAAGATATTTTGTCGATCATAATTCATTATGTGAAAGTTGCTTTATTTATTGAGGTACTCACATTAATCTGAAGCTTTTCTGTTGCTGAGTTCTCCTGCCAGTTGTAATCATCGTCATTGATATAAACTAAAGCATTTAAAATAAATAAAGTAGAATTTTAATCAAAATAATTTCCCGAGTTTTCCAGTGAAAATAATTATTTAATACTACTACATAAATAAAATATTCATTTTTCAAACTTACCATTTTCGACCATTTTCTCAGCATCTCGAATCTGTTTCACAAAATCATCAAGAAAATCCTCTACATTTTCAACTAAGTTATTAAAATCCTGTCTCATAATTTTCAAGTTTTTGCTCAACACATCTTGATCGTTCGTCTCTAACGGCTCACCACGTGATATTTCCGCATAAACGAAAAGTAATAACGCGAATTTAACCCTCATAACTTTGGCCAAATAGTAAATTTCAGATTTGAGTAAGATTTTCTAATTAGTTTGAGCACACTAACACGCTAACAAAATTTGCGGTTCTAGTTAAACGTTCAATAAGCAATTACGTTAAACTGTGTCAATAAAATTGCTGATCCTGAGTGATTCTTGGTTGATTTCCTGGTTTACATTTAAATAAACTTTTGAAATTCAGCATTTTTGAATTTCTAGTCCAGTATGCATTGACCATATAATTTGCAATTGTGAATGTGTTACGAAATAACATTACTTTTATATCAATTGCCAATGCGAAAAAATACGTAAATTAAATCTTTATGACATTCCCGCAAAATAAATGTTGTATTTATATCTGAATATTTAGGACTACTTAGCAGATGGAGAAACGCGGTGAGAAAATATCATAAAATTTTTCATTTTGCGCAAGCCAGTTTGCGAAGTGTTATCGACAACATGCTTGATTTTCCATAACTTGCGGAAACGCCCGCAGAGGGCACAAAGCAGCCCTGCGCGATTTCCTTATAAGTTTTTCCAATATTGGATTTTCACTTTTTATGAATTCGAGTAAGCTCTTTTATAGCATAGAATTCAGGATCAGTTGAATTAATAAAATGAGTGAAAGTCACAAAGTAACTCGGCATAAATTTAAAGTTATATTAATATAAACTGATTTTCTTTCACCTAAAAGGATTTGCTGTTGAAATAACAACTTATCACGAAATTATTCATTTCTATATTTGTAAATATTTGTAACTGTGTTCGTAACTTTTCTGCTATTTCGACTAAAATTTGGATGACGGCTTTTTCTCGCCGTATCCCTTACAGTAGACCTGAAGATGAAGAGGAGATGAAACTTTCTGCTTCATCAGAGTAGTAAAAAGTTTCAGAGTCATCAGAGTAGTCATTTTTTATTTATGTATATTTTATTATTGCTATTTATTTATATTTATAGTGCGTTTATTTTTTTGCAGCCTTTGTTGCATTGTGGGAAACCGGAGCCGATCGCAACCCAAAATCAAGCACAACAGCGTATAATACAATCGACGGACGCGTTGAACACAAGAACACTGTTAACAGAGTGGGGATGTTGAGGGTGGGCGCAAGAAAAAAGTAAGTAGTGGGGATTTTTGGAGGAGAGCGATTTTGATCAGATGGTTGAGGATATAATGATAAAAAGCCGTGGATAAATTGAGGGCGAGAGCGGCAAATGTATGATCGAAACTCTTAATGGAGAAGATAGGGCAGTGGGTAAGGGATGGAATAAGTGGAGAAGCACGTTCGTATCAGGTGCTGTGACAAGAAGATAATCTGGAAGAATAAAATTGTTGCAGTTTATTCAAGAACTAAATTAATATTAAATATAACTGAGCAAGATTTGAAAGTTGATGGAATTTCGTGTATTGAAAACCTTAAAACCAGGTTTAATAAACTGGCGGCTTTGGATTTGATTGGCTTGGTAAATTTAAGGGCCTCTAATGTAATTAGTGCGTCCTGGTAGAGCGCCATCGAAACGTTTCATATTAAAATTCGTCGTCACTTTATTAACAACCGCTTAAATTAAAATGCACGTTTACCGACGAATTAAATTTCCGCTCGTTTTTTGCTACTTCGACAATATTCTATTTTCGTATTAGCGTTTATTAAAATTTTATGCGAAAGTACGAATTCAATTCAATTTAATTCGGGTCATTAAAAAGCGGAAGTACCCAAATAATTCGTTGCGTATCGATCGAGACCTTCGCAAGAATGTTAGGAATCTAATTTGGACCAATAGGAAGCGGGAATACCCGAAGAATACGCAGCGACGCGATATGTACGTTGCAACAATGTAATATGATGTTGAACAATGATTAATGAATATCGTTTAGACCATTAGGAAGCGGGAGTTCCCGAAAAATTCAATAAGCATCGATAGGGACCTTCGCAAGAATGTAAGAAATCTCATTCGGGCCAATAGGAAGCGGGAATACCTGAAGAATGCGCAGCGAAGCGATATGTACCAACGGAAGAATGTAAAGAATATCGCTTAGACCATAGGTTTCCAAAGTGGTCCAGGTGGACCCCCAGGGGTCGAGACCACACGGGGGCCCACGTGGACGTGAAAAGAAAACAGGGGCTCATAAGTTGTAAGGGGCGGTCGACAAAAAATTTGCTGGTTTTCATAATGAACAAAAGTTTTGGCTCGGATTTAGCTATTAACATAGGAAGGTAGCATCATTCACTAGGTAGGTACTCAAAAATATGCGAAGATACTCAAAAAAATTACTCTGTTCAAACACATAATTAAATAGAACAATAGATAATAGTACGTAAAAAAAGTAAAGATACATAGATATAAGTGTACACCACATGTCGAGACTTGCAAAGTGCCGCCCTTGCGCCCTCTCGTCCGGGATGCTTGTTTAGACCTGCAAAGGGATGAAATGCGACTTGCGCTGTGCTTGCAATCTACATTAGTACAACTACGAATGCCAAAAACAAAACGTTACTCATTTGGTTTTGGGATTTTGAACATGAAAGTGTGACTGTGAGTGAATCGATGCCAGTGTTTACAGTGCCGGAAAAAGTAAGTATCTGCCTATTTGTTATTCACATTTTTATTGTATACTGTAATTTATCATTTATATTATATGTGTTTTTCTATTTGAGTGTAGCTGTAGTGGGTAGTTATGTAGTAAAAATTAAATGCTAGAGATTATCCAAAACTTCGATAAAAGAACAAAAAGCCAGGATAAGTTCAAATTTAGGCACTTAGGTACTTTTTTGTTTAAAAATATTTATTTACGCGACGACGATTCATTAAAAGAGCGGTGTCTTTACGGGCATTTTATTTCTTTTATTGCAATAATTCTATTCTGTTGTGTGATAATAGCCATATTCTTGTAAAATCGCCTCAAAAACATACATTTCTTACAGGTCACAACTGATACGAAATATGGCTGCATTTAAGAATAAATGTCGACAGTACAGTGTTGATTATTTGAAATTTGATTTGCTTCCATCAACGTATTACAAGAGGAGCTACTTGAGCTCAGCACCAACGAGGAACTGATGGTGAAATTTAAGAAAGGCTATCAAACATTTTGGCTGCAGGTAGAAATCCCCGAAAAATATTCTGGGCTATGGGAAATTGTGAGAAAATGGTTGATAGCCTTTCCCTCGTCCTATCTTGTCGAAAGAAGTTTTAGTGCCGTTACCAACCTGTTAACAAAAAAGGAGCAGGTTGAACATTACAGAACGGGGAGATTTGAGATTACTTACAAAACTGCAGTCAAATATTGATAATTTGCTGTGAATTCATCAAGTACATCCGTCTCATTAAAAGTATGAGTATGAGAAAGTATTGTTGATTTACATTTCAGAGTTCATTGTCGACTGTTTGTAATAATAAATATTTATAATCTTGTATAACCACAAGTATTATTTTAATAAAAAGGACACCGGAAAATGTGCTACTTTTTTTTCTTCTTAACACCTCCAATTCGGGGCGATATTTTTGACGAGTTTTGGGAACACAGTAGAAATGTACCAGCAGGGGGTCTACCGAAAATAGTAAAACTTTAAAAGTGGTACACGAGAAAAAAGTTTGGCAGCCACTGGTTTAGACCATTAGAAAGCGGGAACACGTAAAGAATGCGCAGCGAAGCAATCTGTTCAGTCCCAAGAACGTAAAGAATCTCGTTTAGACCATTAGGAAGCGGGAGTTTCCGAAAAATTCGATAAGCATTGATCGGGACCTTAGTAGTAAAAACTAGTAGTTTGAACAAAGTAGTAAAACAGTCTTAAAAAAAAACGTTAATGACCTTTTCTTAGATGTGAAAATTCCAGTCTCGGGTCTCGTAAAGCTTTAATAAGTGACTTATAACTCATGAACCGATTAGTTATAACTCGCTAACTCAGAGAGCGGCAATAACTCAATAGCCCAACTCAACAAAGTGTTAGTCAGGCCTAGCACAAGTCAAATTAAGTAAAAAATTCATCTGAGACGCTACCACAATTTTGTCGCCCGTCTGCTGGATCCCGTTCAGTCTCGTCGTTGAGTAGATCTCGTCGTACTCGTCTTTATCTATAGTTCCATCCTGTGAGTTCGATTCTCTCTAATAAGTCTAACTTTAAGAATGGAACAAGGAACATCATCTGCGACTGTTGTCCGCAGACGCTAGTAGCGGCTACAAAAAGTCGCTCGTGTGCTCGACTGTATTTCAAATAATGAGCAAATACAAGTACTTTCAGCGTCAAAAATGTCGCGCTACAAAAGTCGCCCGTCTGCGGGTGCCCTAAAACGCTAAAGACATCGACCAATGGTGGTTTGATGAACACTGAACACCCAGCCTTCGGGCGACCTCATGTTGGAAATACCCTTCATCCAAGAAGGTGACAATTTTGACCGTATCAAATTCACTTAAATTGACTTAACACACAACTTAGGAAAAAGCAAGAAAAGTGAACGGAAAACAGTACCACACTTGCTGGAAACAATGATGAGATGTTGGAAGTGACACTGGAAAACAAGTAGAAACTTGCACTGGAATGAATAGAAAGGGATAAAAAATAATTGATCGTTATAACGTTATTTATATAAAAATATTTATTTGAAAATGCGCTAATGGTGCGCCAATTTTGCCCATCTGTATATATTTATATTTTTTATCTCGCACAAGAAATTAATGTTTGGAAAAAGTAGAAATACCAAAGTTTTTCTTTCGGGGGAATCAGAAAAATATTACAGTGTTTTAGGTATCTTCGAGTTTATATAGTTACAGCTCAAAAAAGGCAAATCAGCAATCAAGTCGTCATATCGCATAGTCATTAAATAGTTTGAGGAATTATTTAGTATAAAATGTCTTTCCTCTGGATGATTTTGGTGGTTTTGGATTTGTAGCACACAACAGAACGCCAGAAAATTGATAAACGCTGCTATCGCTTCCAAGTATAAATTGAAAAAAACAATATTATCAGGAAACGTACAAGAACAGTACTTTAGTGTTCAAGGTTCACGACCCTTGTGATTCCCCTCTGTTTATTCCCCTTTTACCCCTAACTACCCCCATCCCTCCATGGGTATGAAACGTCCGCTAAACATACTCCCTATTCTGCGTACAGCGTTTCCAGCGCGCAGCTTTGCAATCCGCGGCGTTAGCCATTTTCCAGGCATATTTCCATAGGAAAATTGCTGGAAAATCCGGCGCTGAGGCCTGGAAAACCAAACCTTAATCAAAAAACTAGTACGGATGGAGCTTAGAATCCTAAGCCCTAAAAGGATATCCGGTTTTCCAGGTTGTACGGAGTAAGTCAGTGACAGAATTGGTGACTCAGTTGTTTTTCCGTGCACGGCCATATTTGGATCGTTTCGGATGTGTTTCGGTCTGAACTAAAAACGATTTTTTTGCCGCTTTCTGCATCTTCCAAAGACCTTAATTGAGGATTATTTTCAGTGACAGGTATGTAACTTGAGGGATTAGTTAACTAATTAAAAATATGTCCAGTTTCAACGGAATTGCTCTCTATGGCCTTCGGTTTGGGAGCGAACGGCCATTTTGGGAAATTGGGGCTTTTTCCAACAAAAGGCTTTGTTATTGTCAATATTTTTCGCATTAACTAATCCAAACTGTTACAAGGATTCAGACATTAGGGAACTTTGTTTGCATTTTTGCAATGAAACTGTGTTACTGCTATGTGGGTTAGGGTGTGTTATTTATTGTCATGTCCCATTCGTTTGACCTTATCTTAATTATTAATTCAAGATTGATCGGTATATTTGCGTTTCAGCATGGAGTAGCCACTTTTACATGTTTTAATAAATGTGATTTAATTTTCTTGAAATATAGTAAACACTAACACGTTGCGTACGGAAATATGAACACAAAAAGAAGCGAGATTTGAGTTTTTTCAACTGTAAAACACCCCATATATAAAAAAAAGTTTACGAATTCTGACAAGACGAATTCCGGTGCTCCGCAAAGCATACGGTAGGACTCCGCCAACAATAAAATTAATACATGTATTAAAGAGGAATCTATAAGAATAAAGTTATCTAAGATAAAAATAAACTTCTGAAGAAAAAACACCTACTTATAGATATTACGGGTACATAATATTACAGGGTTAATCACGTAGCCCGTTCGTAAGGAAAACTTTTATTTCCCGAAATCTTATCTTATTATCTTATTATATGAAATTTGATAGGCACCACAATCAGTTGCTGCAAGTCTAAATATAGTATTTTCAAAATTACGGCACTTCCGGAATTACCGGAAATCGACGCCATCTTCGGTTTTTTAACCGGAAAGTTCCCACTTTGATTTCATATTTAGATTCAGATCTAAATTGTGAGTTCAGAATGTCCATTTGACAACACTTATCTGTCACACTTTTGAAATATACCATTTATTGCAAAAAACACGGCAGCAGAGGTTCATTAACAAATTCATATTTCCTGAACCATTGCAAATAAATAAATCGGCATTATTCAATTCAATTCCCAAAGGTTTGGCACATTCTGCATCGATTTTAACACTTTTGTTATGTTTCATGCTTCTGCAACGATTTTCCAAAATTGACAATTAAAAATGACAAAAACTTCACTTTTTTAAATGGCAACTACTATTTCTGACTCCAAAAATAAATGTAAAATTTAATTTTAAGTCCAGTTTTATTAACATTGTGTACGTTCATCTAGTCTTAATCGAAAGTGTTAACAAATGAACGTTTTAAGTTCAAAATTTAATGCTGAATGCAAATATGAAATCAAAATAGAGACTTTAAGAAAGCCAAGATATCGTCGATTTTAGATGCTTCCGGAAGCGTAGCCATTTAAAAAAAACTATATTTAGACTTGCGGCCGGCGATTATGTCTGCCTACCAATTTTCATTTCATTCCAAAAAATCGTTTTTGTATGTTTATTAATAATCAATACACATATAACTTGTATTGCTTTTAGTTTCGTTAGGGTTTAGAGCTCCGTTAAAAATTTAGTTCCTTAAAAAGGTTCGGTGTTCCGTCAGCAAAAAAGTTTGGGAACCGCTGGTCTAAAGAATATAAACATTATTTCACTACAAGCTACTTTGATTTCTGGTTATTAAATATCAAGGCGCAGTAAAATCAGAGGATATAATATTTTTGGCTGTTTACTTTCATCATTATTACCTATCACATTTCGTATAAGGGAGATGAAATCAAATATTTTCAAGCTGTTTTGATAAAGTACTGGCATGCAATATATTTCTTTCAAGTTTGGTTGTAACTCGAAAAGTTATCAATTGGGTGGCTGTTTTCAAACGAATTTCAGTTCTTTTTCTTGTTGAAGGAATTTGTTTTCAGAAGTATATTTGTGCGGTTAAAAATAGGTTTAATCTAACAAAAGTTGCAAGTGACTAACATAATCTTCATTTCCTAGCCATTTTGCTTTACAAAATACGAGAAAATTCACTTTAGGCATTAAATAAAAGTCGCATTGTATGTATCGAGATAAATAAGTGAAATACAGAAAAAAATTTATTGGAAAAGCGATCTTGTTGTGCATCTCTCATTTTTAGTATCGTACTTTTAGAAAAGTAAGTAAACGTTGCAAGCAAGTAAAAGTTGACTGCAAGAGAAATAAAAATAAGCCTATGAAACATATAAAGACAGATATATGCCACAATCTGAATACTCAAAAAAATATCTGGTAAAATTTGCTTTAACTGTATCTGTTTCTAAAAAAGCGTCTGAAAGTAGTTTCGCGTCTATGTAAAATACATGAGCATAATAATAAAGGTTTCGGAAGTGTTATTTTCAGGTAAAAAAAATTCAAAAAAAGATCCTAGGTTCTGCGTGTGCCTGATATTAGCATGAATTTTTTCGAGCATTTTTCGAAGAATCACAGCATTTGCATAGCAAAATAAAAATAAAATTCATGTAGTTTAGTTGCTTAAAAATTATTATAACACGAATAAGAAGATTTCATACTTTTGCCTAAAAACGCGTCGGTTGTACAAACTCATTAAAAACTTGTTTTATGGAAAAACGCCTTGAATCCAAAAATAGGTTTCTATCGGGTTATTTTATTCAAAAGAAAACATTCATTTTGAATTTTGATATTATTGAGTTTTAGATTCAACTATAAATTGTCTTTTATGAGCCATATTCTATTAATTCAACAGTGATCGAGATATTCTTGATTAAGCACACACGATTTTTTGTTAATCTATGAAAACATTCAATTGAGTCAATCTTTGAGAACATTGAAAAACTTGAATACCTACAATTTACTAATTGATGTGTTTTTGATAAACACCTTGAACATTTTACTTGAATTATTTTGTTCCGTTTTATATAAGCGGTCGTATTCAATATCGCAAAATATATAAAAGTTGAAGAGACCAAAGAAATTAACGGTCGATTACTGAATTACTGCATTGAAAGCTGTAAATCGGAATATAAATACTTTGCATTAAAAAAATCTTACA